CAAGTGAAAGTGAGCAGCTATAAAATCAAAATAGATTTGACTTCAGTTACCGAGCTTAAAAGCGCACAATTTTCAATTTGCTTCGTGTCTGGGGAGAACAAAATAAATAAATAAATAACGACATGACAGAGAAATCATAAATCACTTTACACATCAAGGCCAGGAAACATTAAACGCTTTCGGAGAGGTAGATGAAGGCAACAACTGCTGTGTGTTAATCATCGTTATATCAGACTTCAGTGGGATAGACAACGCGCAGTCCAGCCTTGTTCTCTTGAACACTTCCCCTTGACTGGCATAAGTTAAAACAAATAACGACAACACACCCAAAATACTTTTAAGCAGATGCAAAATGCATTCACACGCAGAAACACAGTAACAGGTCACAAAACTTGAAGTGTCACACTCAAATTCCTCTGCTGCACAACCTTTTTAATGTTCCTGTCATAATCTGCCTCCACGCTTGGTTGCTTTGTTGTTGTCTTGTTATTGTGGGAGACTGCAATATACTTGTCAGACAGGAAAAGAAAATAGAAAAACTTTCAACCGCATCCTTCTGTCTCTTCTTCTATTTCATTTTTGTCACCTCTTTGCTCTCCCTTGTAGGCTGGTGAGCTTTCCGTGCTAACCAGACCCAGTTAATCCTACGCACAGAGATAAAGTAACACTTGCACATACAGCATTCATGAAAAAAAAGGACTTCAGCATTATGATTTGGTTTTATCCCGGCACAAAAACAACCTACACATAACAAACCTGCCAAAAAAACAAAAGCACGTAGGCACAAACCGTGACGATAACCTACCGAAACCTCCAAAGCAAACACAATTTAAAAGCACACACGCTGAGGTGTTACGTATGTGTAACTACCAGCCAAGAACCACACCACCACTTTTTTTGTCATGAAGACCTGGAATAAGAACAGACTGTACAAACACACAAGAGACTAAACTGTGTGCGTGGGTATAGCTTTACAAAAAACAAGAAAAAAATTCAGCACCAGTAACGATGAGAATTCAATATATGATTAGACGCTGGTGCGATGGAGAGTCAGCCTGTATAAACTGCAATGTGAAATCAATATAAAGAACGTAAAATTTGTTGTGAATGTGTGCCATCTCATTGGGGTTCCTTTTGATAATGGAACCATCACCCTGGGGATATAAAATGGCAAGCAGGCATGACTGATTTTCATAGTACCATTATTATTTTTAATCATAATATAGAGCTGCGTTTGGAAGTATCATGTTCAGTATATTTTATTTTAAAACTGAATTTCAAAAACAGCTGTATAGTGTTTTTATGCATTGTATGCATCTATGATTTCAAACTTCCACTAGATCCAGTGAGACATTTGTCAGTGTTAACTGAACACCTACACTGACTTAGAGCGTCACCTTAGAGGTCCATTTACACATCCAATCAACACTTCTGATGTTATCACACTATATGTTCTGTCACTTTCTTCTTTTTTTGCTGGTCTGGAACATTCAGGTGTGTGTTAAAACAATACCAAAGAGTACAGACAACAGAAGTGCTCTTGAAGAAGCAATTGTTTCTGCCAATTAGTTGGTGAAGGGTTATATGGTAATTTCCAAACAATTTCAAATCCAGGTGTGGACATTCTTGCAAATTCATCCCAAGGTCAGACCGAGCAATGTTCAGAGAAATGTTAGAGTCTGAAGGCCTCAGTTAGCATGTTAAATGTTAAAGTTCATGACAGTACAATTAAAAGAAGACTGAAAATATATAATTTGTTGTTGGGGGCGATCGTGGCTCAAGAGTTGAGAGTTTGCCTTGTAATCGGAAGGTTGCCGGTTCGAGCCCCGGCTTGGACAGTCTCGGTCGTTGTGTCCTTGGGCAAGACACTTCACCTACCGCCTACTGGTATTGGCCAGAAGGGCCGATGGCGCGATATGGCAGCCTCGCGTCTGTCAGTCTGCCCCAGGGCAGCTGTGGCTACAACTGTAGCTTGCCTCCACCAGTGTGTGAATGGGTGTGTGAATGGGTGGATGACTGGGTGTGTAAAGCGCTTTGGGGTCCCTAGGGGGGACTAGTAAAAGCGCTATACAAATACAGGCCATTTACCATTTTGTTTGGCTTTCTAGGAGAAAGCTTCTTCTCTCTAAAAAGAGCATGGCAGCATGGTTTAAATTTGCCAGGTTTTATCTGAACAAATAGTTTTTACAGCGTCGTTTGGACAGATGAGAGCAAAGTGGAGATGCTGCATCTCCATAATGCACAGTACCAGTTTTGGTGAAAACCAAACACAGCACAACAGCACAAACACTTTATACTAACTGTCAGGACTGTGGTGGAGGGATCATTATTTTGGTTTTTGGTTTCTTTGCAGCCACAGGAACTGGACACCTTGCAGTCATTGAGTCGACAATGAACTCCTTCTCCACTGTCCACAGTTCTATAGTTAAATGTGAGGTTGTCTATCTGACAGCTAAAGCCTTGGGCAAACTGGGTCATGCAAGAAGACAATGATCCCAAGCACAGCAGCAAATCTACAACAGAACGGCTGTAAAATAAAAGAACTAAAGTGTTGCAATGGCCCAGACAAAGGCCAGACTTCAACCCGACTGAAAGGCTGTGTTGGGACCTTAGGAAAGCTGTGCATAAATGAATTGTCACACACTTGAATAAACCGAAGCAATGTTGTAAAGAAGAGTGGGCCAAAATTCCTCCAGAATGACATAAGAGATGGATTAAAAAAAAGATTACTTTAAGTTGCTTCAAGTCGTTGCTGCTCAAAGCAGCTATAAAAGCTAACAATCATGGAGAGTATTTATTTTTTGCACTCACCGCTTCTGCATTTTGGCTTATTTTTGTTAAACAAATAATTACACAGTGTAATACATCATGTATTGTTGTTCATCTCTAATTTTATGCCCTGGTAAGAACTAAGACAACCCACACAGAATGTGAGCTTTCTTTCTACGCTGTATGTAGTTGTTATAATTGTTCATAACCTAATTTGTTACATTTAAAAGATCCAAGTATCCCTTAACTTCACCCCAAACACCAGTGATTTGAATAATTTAGGCCAACACTTGTGCTTCATTCAGTCGGGCAAATGAGGCAACCCAAAGGAACAAGAGCTTTTAGAATCGGTTCTCCTGCACAATCATATAAACTTAACAATGACTTCAGAAGCAAAGTGGATGCGGATAAGTGCTTACAATCACAATGCGGCAGATATTGTGTTCACTTTGTGAATCTGTGGCTGTCTGTATGTCTCTGTTGTCATAAAAATTGGGTTCTGGAGACAGGTAGTGTAGTAAGAACTACGACAAAAGAAGCAGCTTTAAGTACTTTGTCAGCTGTCTATTTGCTTGTCAACCTGAGTCTCACAACCAGTCTGAAAACTTAAA